TGACCAAAGTGAGGACTACAAGCGTTTCTCTCAGTTGGTTGTGTTTAGGGAAAACGCAGCTAAATACACTGAGACTGCTCCACATTGTTAGTGAGTTAACTCTGGATATCTGTCGGTTTTGTCAAACTTTGAGTGAACAAAAGCAGAAAAACAGTAAAAGATGCAGACGGTGAAAGTCTGGTTTATTTCATGAACACAATGAAACATTTTACAGTCCACAGAGCAAAGTAGCATACATGATAAATAGATACACATAACACAGACAGTGAGAAGTAAAACTCATCGTCTTACCACATGTTATATTCTGTAAACTTAAGAGAAATTAGAGTTTAGTGTTTTAAAGTCATCTATTAAAAAACATGAGTCAAGATTGCTGAACGATACTTTAACGATGCTTCATATCACAGTCTTTATGATGATAAAACATCTTCTCTCATTAGTAGATGTCTGCGCTGTCACTTGTCATGAAAATGTCCAGAGCCAGGGTTCAAGCTTCCTCTTCAATTACCATTGATCATTAATAGGGTCACAAAAGATTTGTCACATTATCCCCATAAACAACACGCTTTTATAGAAATCATTGTGACACAAATATTTAGATTCTTGTTTCACAATGTGCACGAACTCAAAATCTTTAGAGTTTCATATTTATAAAGTATCGCAAATAATACATTTATACCATTGTATGAGCTACACTTCTTGCAAAAAAAACTGATTGGAAATGCGTTTCAAAAAAGCCCCTGTCGTGACCTTCCTTCTGTGAGGGCGCACACACACACACACACACACACACACACACACACACACACACACACACACACAGAGAGAGAGAGAGAGAGCTGTATTGTTGCTTTTCTCTATTGTATAAGCAACGCCAGTAGGTCAGAAACGCTCTGTGCGGGTAGCAAAGTCGGCTCAACGCACATCCAGGCAACCGTGTGAAAGAAGGTGTCGCTGCAGCTAGGCTCTCAGGATAGTCAGGCTTTTGTTTATATTTGCATTCTGGTGCGTTAAAACTAGCAGCCTCTGTGTCCCGCTTGGATCATCATTCCGAAAATTCAGATATTTAAATAAAATGGTGAATTGGCTAGTGATGAGGAGCCACTTAGATCCGTAAAATGAGGTTTGATTAAATTAAACTCTTATGAACAGCGATGAATTCTACCTCTCTGCTGATGTGTTCCAAACAAACGATGTTTTCTTCATGTCCAAACTGAGTGCTAACTACCTCACACCACTGTGTCTGGGATCGGAAAAAATAAAAAGTTAAAACGCTATACCTTGCGGCAGTTGTGAAGTGCTGAGGAAAATACTGTGTGTCTGATGGGGTGTTTTTATATAGGTGGATTTGGTTTCAGTTGGCCTCTGAGATGCAGATATAAAGAGCAGGTTGTAATGAAAAAGGTGGAAAAACTATGGAGATTCGGTTAGTCAGTAGGAGGTGTAATTGCCAGATAAAGGAACTGTTTGTAATGAAAAAGATGGAAACTATGGAACTACCGTTGGGACGTGCGTGCTGGGATGCTCTTGTTAAGGAGGCTGCTTTTATTGTTTTATGACTTGTTTTGCTGACTGTTGGGCGGAGGCCCTACCTGTAAGCCCCTCTGTCTAATCATCAAGTCTTACTGTTGCAGTGTGTGGCTATGTGTGAATGTGTGGTTTTAGAAGTATCACAAGAAAAGTTTATTTCTAAATGAATACATGTTGTTTGTGGTGCTCTATTTAAAACCATTAGCCTTTGTGTCTTTCAGAGCGCTAAAGAATGTGAAATGCTCCTTAAGCAGTTAAATTAAATGCTGTGTGGGAATACTCGGTTTTTAGAAGTATCACACGCAAAGTTTATTTCTAAAAGAATACATGTTGTTTGTGGCACTCTGTTTAAAAACTATTAGCCTCTGTGACTTTTCGGAGCGCTAAAGAAAAGTAAAATGCTCCTAAACTGGTTAAATTAAATCATCTATGTCTAAATAACAGAGCTCTGAGACCTATACAATCCTTAAAAAGAGTTTAATTTAAACACATAATGGTTTCATTAAATAAAATGCTATTAAACACATGTGAACTCATATGAGCCCTGAACTCACATGCACGTGCTAAGCCAGTACATGCGTACATGCACTCACATGGACGCGCTGGGGGAAAGGGGGGCAAAAAAAGTGCCATTATATTACTACTCACAGAGATGAGTCCACTGTCAGAGGCCATAAGAAGATCATTTGTAACCTTCACTAAAGCTGTTTCTGTGCTGTGCTGAGCTCTGAAACCTGATGGAAACTCTTCAAATAAGTCATTCCTCTGCAGATGATCTGTTAGCTGTTTGACAACTACTCTTTCAAGGATTTCTGATATGAAAGGAAGGTTGGAGACTGGCCTATAATTAGCTAAGACTGCTGGGTCTAGAGATGGCTTTTTAAGTAAAGGTTTAACTACAGCCACCTTGAAGGCCTGTGGTACATAGCCGATTATTAGAGATAGGTTGATCATATTTAAGATTGAAGCATTAATTAATGGCAGAGGAAATAACATCACCCTGTTGAGCTCTAATTGTAGTCATTAAGGATTCAAGGATTGAATGAAGCTTTTAAGTTAAAGCAATTGCTAGAATCTGCCCATGGTTTTCTTTATCTGACCATGTAGATAAGTTCTGTTTTTCTTTCTTAACGAAGACCAAAAAAACCCACCAAAAACAGCCAATCTGTAAACTCCTTGACATCACACTTAGATTATCCTTCCATGTTCAAAGTGCCCAGCCTGAAGGCACCACAACTTTGTTTGTTCCAGAAGTATCAAGTATCGGGTGTCTGACTAAAGACTTCTTTTTTCCTTTCACTGAGGTCTTCATCTGTTTTACCTCCTTCACAATATAATATGTACTTTTTTTGTACAACATACAAATGCATATAAGTTCTTAGCCTCATCTTCCATTGAATTTTCTATCTTGATTACTTAGAGACGAATGTTTGAAGGAGAGAAAAAAATTTAAATCACAGCTCTGTAAGTGTGTTATTAACCCAAAACATGGTTAACCATTGTTAATGAGGAACAGAAATAGAGATGAAACTAAAAGACAAGTGTGAGATTTGATTCCTGAGTGACATTTTTTCATAATAATACTTTTTCCCAAAGTTTGACATTTTTTCAGCACTCACTGTGTATTAGACCAGGGGTGGGCAATCTCAGTCCACGAGGGCCGGTGTCCCTGCAGGTTTTAGGCTACGTTCACACTGCAGGCGAAAGTGCATCAAATCCGATTTTTTTGACCCTATGCGACCCATATCCGATCATGGTATGACAGTGTGAATGGCACAAATCCGATATTTTCAAATCCGATCTGGGTCACTTTCGTATGTGGTACTGAATCCGATACATATCCGATGTTTTAGAAAGCGACTGCTGTTTGAATGGTCAAGTCGCATTAAATCCGTCTTTTACATCACTGACACAAGACAGACGCCAATTATCAGCGCCGGAGAAGACATCGCGAACGCTTCCTGGCCATCCCGTGTAGATGTCAGTGAAACTGTTGGGAAGACAACGTTGGAGAAACGTGAACATTTTATTTGTACTGTATAATCTGCAGATTCTGACAGAAATCTGCAACTATCCTTTGAAGCACCGCTCCTCTAAAACAGCAATAAGGATCATCATTAGGTTATCTACATTATTATGTAAATAACTTAAAGCAAAAATTGGGAAACGTAAAGTTCGAAGTCTTTATATTAAGGGCCATCAGTCAAACAATATTGTTTGCTCTGTGTCTAAACAGAGCGCGTTGTGTGTGACGTCTTCTTTTGCGCATGCGGGCCGCTTTGAGCGTTCACACTAGAGCGCGTTTGCTGTCGCATTTTATTTGTAGTGTGAATGAGCAGACACAAAAAATCGGATTTGATCAAAAAATCGGAATTGAGCATCAAGACCTGCAGTGTGGACGTAGCCTTAGATCTCACCTTGGGTCAACACACCTGAATCACATGATTAGTTCGTTACCAGGCCTCTGGAGAACTTCAGGACATGTTGTGGAGCTAATTTAGCCATTTAAATCATCTGTGTTGGTTCGAGGACACATCTAAAACCTGCAGGGACACCGGCCCTCGTGGACTGAGATTGCCCACCCCTGTACACTGGATGGTCTCAGTCATGATGCTATTTTAGTGCTATTACAGATATATTATCAAGTGCATCATTGGATGCTACAGAGTTAGAACCATGTGTAGGTCACATCGAAGTGTGCATGTGGAGGGAGAACTGAAGAACAGCTTCATCAGAATCAAAATCAGAAATGGTTTTATTGCCAAATGTTAAGCAGATTTACAACATTAGGAAATTGCTGCGGTACTTTGCGTGAGACATACTATAAGACAAACACTTAAATAAAAATTAAAAGTACTAAACAGATTGAATGCAAGTGATGATCAGTGCAAAGAAAATTGAACAGGTGCAGAGAACACAATACATGTCATGGTCCTGGGCCGTGTTGGCCCAGTATTCTTAGTTCTCTTGTATTTTTGTATTCAGTTCCCTGTTTAGGTTCTGTTTCCTGAGTTGCCCTGTTATGTGGTTCCCTGTGTGCTTTCCCTTTGTGACTCTCACCCCCTGTGTGCCCCTCTATGTATTCATGAGCCCTTGTCCCCTTTCGTGTTTTATTCCATTTTTTCCCCAGCCTGTTATGTCTGTGTTCTCCCCGTGCTCTCTCCTCCTGTCTGAACCTCTGTACTTCCTGTTTTACTTTGACAGTCTCTCGTCAGTATGCGTCATGTTGTGTTCACTCCTGCCCTGTCTCGTTATGATTATCTGTGTCAGCTGTGTTCCCCGTGTGCTCCCACTTCCCTCGTTAACCCTCTGTGTATTTATGTCTGCGTCTCCCTCAGTTCTGTGTCGTAGTCTCCCTCATGCTGTGTGTGATTCTCCCCGTGGTTCCTGGTATACTTTATGTTTAGCTTTCCCAGTTTAGTTCAGTGTTGTTTTTGTGTTTCACCTTTTGCCAGCATTAAAGCTGTGTTTTTGAGTTTACGTTTTGTCTCCGTGAGTTTGCGTTTGGGTCCTTCTCCTGCCTGCCACACAGCCGAACCATGACAATACAGGAATAATGCAGGCGTATGAAAGTTTGTCAGAAAAAACTGACAAAGGAAAACTGAAATAACCTCAGTGTACTGAACAGTCAGCAGGGTACAAAATGTCTGATGTGAAGTGTGTATTAAATAATAAAAATTTCCGAGCCATGAGAGGAATAAGGCACGCATTTGCAGCAGTCTGTGACTGAAGTCAGTTACAAAGCAGATACAAACAGACGTTCTCCACACTTTCTGTACAAAACTCCAACTCCTTCTCCACTGCCACTCCTCTCGTAGTCCGTAATCAGGTTCCAGATGAAATTTACACACAAAAAGCTCCGGTTAACAGGATAGACACAACACTCACAGATACACAGGTTCAGATTTGCAGGTTTGACTGATGCTGGTCGCTCAACGATCCAGCAAAGACTAGTGCAGATCAGCGACCGGTGTGGAGATGAGAGCAGGTGTGTGGGCCAGCAGCGGGAGCCTGTAATGAGCATCGCTGCGGCGAAAGAGAGAGAGCGAGAGGGGGAGAGGAAGGAGGGAGAGAGCGAAAAACAAAAACAACTATGTTGCCTAATAGAGAGTCGACCAGCGAGGCACAGGGACCATGACAAGGCCCAAATAATGATCCGAGCTCTTACATCCAAAATGAGGTAGTGAAAGCATGTGGCAGAAGAGTTTTGAAAACAGTTGTCAAGGAGACTGAGGATGCTACTTATTGTGCAGCCATCTGGAGGAGTCCAGAAGTGAATCGAGCAGTAAAGAGCAGCCATGCAAGTGAGCCGTGGTATGTATAGTTTTCTTCGCTGGCAGGTGACCAGCTTAAGTTTAGAAGCGAGTCTTGTGAGGAAGAAATCAAAGACATTACTTCAGCCAACAATCACAGGAAATTCAACACTACACTATAATAATCTGGAAAGGCGTGGAAGCATTAGCCGATCTTAAATACTGCAAGACTGGTGAAGTGAATTGAAAGCACGAGGGTGAAGCCCAGCCCACTACTCCATGTGAGATGAAAAGAGAAAGAGAAAGAAACGAGTAAAAAAGATTTCAGGCCATCAGGGTCCATCAGGGCATATAGTTAATATCAAGGACTATCTTTGCAGCTATTACATTTATTTATGTCTTATCAGCTAAAAAAGTTTAAAAAAAACTTTACTAAAGGATCCACAGAATAGAGAACAAATCCAGTATAGATATAGGTAGAATATAGTTACATGCAAAGGCAGAATGCATAAATTATGATAAAAGGAACAAATACAAATACATGTTGCTGAGCTTTGGAACAATTACTGTCTTGCAGTCTTTCACACAGTGTTGTGAATCGTGGTCTGAAACCCGGCATAGAAATTGTCCTCCCTCAGATCAAATCCAGCAGAGAGAAGTACACCTTTTAAACTCCTTAATTATAGGTACACCTTTTAAATGACTCGATAATGCAAATATCTAATCAGCCAATCATATTGCAGCAGTGCATTTAGACATGTAGATGTCTAAATGCTCTTGAAAAAAACAAGAGTAAACAAGTAATCCGTGACTTGTTATGACATTAAAACAAGATTATTTTTTAACTGCATTATCATTACAGTAAAGGGTCATATATAAATCCACATAACAAAAAAAAATCTGCCGACATATTGGGTTTTTAAATCACAAAATAATGGTATTGATACTGGTTTTAAAAATCAGTTTGTCTCTAGTCTTAATAAACATGTGTACCAAACTGACATAGACTAAAACTAAACTGTATTTTTATTTTATTGGTGGTCATATTTCTAAGTACACCATATCCTTTCAGTTTTTCTTTCTTTTTTAGAGTCTAGTTTTTATTTGAGTATTATATGAGAATTATAACCCTTCTACAGATTTTACAATAAACAGCAGATTCTAAGTATTTACACTGTAATTATGACAGATATCCATTGTTTATACACAAGTTTCCCACCCCCTTACTTCCTGTAAAAACAGCCCAAGGCTCAGTGATATTACATAAATATAAAAAATACACCTGTAAAACTAAAACGTTCACTTATTTTTAAGGCAGAGCAAAATGCATTAGTCTACTTGATGCCTCCCATCATGTGGATCCAGAAGTTGGCCTGCACAGTCCAGCCCAGCTTCTCACACTCAGAGATTTGTTGGAGAAAGTGCTCCCTGGCATCTGCCTCATTCTGCTCCTCCTGGAGTGCCACCCGCAAGTAGCGCATATCCTCTGCAGCGCTCAGCTCTGGGATGCCCGTGAGCAGCATGAGGGAGAAAAGAGTCACCAACAGACGAGAGTGGGAGCGCAGGGAGAGGTATGCTTCTGTGCAGGTGTCCTAATGTGGGTGTTGGAGGCAAGAAAAGATAGAATAACAAAGAAAAGCAAAGATAAAACAATAAGGACAGCTGAAGTTTAGATTTTTTCTATAATTCTAAAAGTGGTATCCAAAATAAGAATCAGGCTTCTTTTAATTAGTGTGTGTGTGTACTTCTGGAATAAACTCAATTGGCATAAATCAAAAGTCTTAATAATGGCAGGTCAGCAAGGAGAAAAGCCTCTGCTTTTAAATCAGAACACTGCAGCCTGCCTGCAGTTTCATAAAGACTGCATGGACAAGCCAGAAGTCAGAATTATATTTTTGGACTGAGATGAGATCAAAACAGAGCTTCTTGGGTTCAATGAAAAGCATTTTGTTAAGAGAGAAGAACACACATATTTTGTTGGAGTTGGGCCACGACTGCATGCTTTCATCATTGAACAAAATTGAATGAAGTTTGAATTATACTAGGAAATTAGAATTTCTTGGTCTTGTCTTGGTATTAGGACACCTCCGGTTCTGGTTGCCGCCCAGCTCACTATGCACCTGACCCCTACGGCGCCTCCTGCGGTTGGTGGGCCTGCAGGAAGATGGGCCCATGGCCCTCTTTCGGAGTGAGCCCGGCCGGGCCCCATGGACTAAGGCCCGACCAGGCACTCCCCCTCGGGCAGCCTCCCTGGGCATGGCTCCAGGCCGGTCCCGGTAACCCTATCCCGGGCAGGGTGAATTGTTCCCTTGATGGTCTTCTCATAGAGGTCTTCTGAATCGCTCTTTGTCTGGTCCCTCACCCAGGACCAATTTGCCTAAATGCCCCCAGACAACATAGCCCTTGGGATCCCTGGGATACACAAACTCCTCCACCACGGTAAGGTAGCAATTCGGGGAGGGGGGCCCGCATGGCCGGCAATAAGACGGACTCGTTCCTAGGTGGTGATGGGCTCCGCCAGGGCTGCTCTTTGTCACAGATTCTGTTTGTAATTTTTATGCATAGGATTTCTAGGTGGTCACCTCACCTTTCACCTAGGTGGTGTCAGAATCTCATCTCTGCTTTTTGCGGATGATGTGGTTCTGTGGGATTCATCAGGTGATGGCCTCCAGCTCGCTTTGGAATGGTTCATAAACTAAGTGTGAAGATGTCATGGTCCTGGGCCATGTTGGCCCAGTATTCTTAGTTTTCTTGTATGTTTGGATTTTGTTCCCTATTTAGGCCATGTTTCCTGAGTTGCCCTGTTGTGTTGTTCCCTAAGTGTTTTCCCTTCGTGGCTTTTACCCCCTGTGTGCCCCTCTGTGTATCTGTGAGCCCTCGTCTCTCCTTATGTTTTATTCCATGTTTCCCCTGCCCGTTATGTCCAAGTTCTCCCCGTGCTCTCTCTCTCCCCCCTGTGTGCCCTCTGTGTATTTATGAGCCCTCGTCTCCCTTTGTGGTTGTTCCATGTTTCCCCTGCCCGTTATGTCTGTGTTTTCCCCGTGCTCTCTCTCCTCCTGTCTGAACCTCTGTACTTCCTGTTTGACTCTGCCCGTCTCCCGTCAGTGTTATGTTCACCCCGCCCTGTCTCGTTATGGTTATCTGTGTCAGCTGTGTTCCCCGTGTGGTCCCACTTTCCTCGTTAACCCTCTGTGTATTTCTGTCTGCATCTCCCTCTGTTCGGCGTCGCGTTCTCCCTCATGCTGCGTGGATTTCCCTGTGTCTCTCTCCGAGTATTAGTTTATTGTTCCCAGTTTAAGTTTTGTATTTTCCTGTCATCTTGTCAGCAATAAAGCTGCCTTTTGATTTCATCCCTTGAGTCCGTGAGTTTTGCGATTGGGTCCTCATCCTGCCTGCCACGCAGCGAGCCATGACAGAAGAACGCGACCACGACATGGACCCAGCAGCTCACAACCCCTCTGCCGAGCTCCGTGAGGACCTGATTTACACGGTGGAATACCACTGTCAGGAGTGGGGAGCGCTGCCAAGAGGAGGATACCGGGAGACCGTAGCCATCCGCCTACAGAGGATGGTGTCCGGACTCCCCTGGTTATTCGGCGTGCTACACCCCCACATCCGGGACTTCCTCATGTCCACCGTAGGCATCCGCCCGGAACTGCCTCTCCGGTGGGAAGAGTCGGAGGACGTTCAGCCCGGTCCGCTGGAGGATTCGCGGCCCGGCTCAGCTCCTCCCCCTTCCCGGAGAAAACGGCGTTCACGCCGCCAACACCCACCGCCACAGCCAGACCCCGAGACTTCTGAGTTGCCAGCTGTGGTGAGTGGAAGGGACAAACAGGAGTTTCCTGACTGTGGGACTGTTTATTCCGGGGCTGTGTTTTTTCACTTAGCTGCCCAGCCAGAAGCGCTAGCTCCGTCTCCTGTATCCTCGCTAGCACAGTCGTTAACTCCACCACAAGCTCCGAGTATTAGTTTATTGTTCCCAGTTTAAGTTTTGTATTTTCCTGTCATCTTGTCAGCAATAAAGCTGCCTTTTGAGTTCATCCCTTGAGTCCGTGAGTTTTGCGATTGGGTCATCATCCTGCGAGCCATGACAGAAGAGGTGGGAATGAGAATCAGCACCTCCAAATCTGAGGCCATGGTCCTAGCCGGAAAAGAGTGGAGTGCCCACTTCGGGTCGGGGATGAGTTCTTGCTCCAAGTAGAAGAGTGTAAGTATCTTCGGGTGTCGTTCACGAGTGACGGCAGAAGGGAGCGGGCGATCGACAGACAGATATATCACTGCTGCTGCAGTGATGCGGATGCTGCACTGGTCTGTTGTGTTGAAGATAGAGCTGAGTGTAAAAGCGAAGCTGTCAATTTACCGGTTGATCTACGTCCCTACCCTCACCTATGGCCACGAGCTGTGGGTAGTGACCGAAAGAACGAGATTGCGGATACAAGCGGCAGAAATGAGCTTCCTCCGAAGGGTGGCTGGCCTCTCTCTGAGAGACAGGGTGAGTACTTCAGCCATCCGGGAGGGGCTCAGAGCAGAGTTGCTGCTCCTCCACATCGAAAGGAGCCAGTTGAGGTGGTTTGGGCATCTGTCAAGGATGTCTCCTGGGCGCCTCCTGGGTGAGGTGTTCAGGGCATGTCCCACCAGGAGGAGGGCAGACCCAGGACCCTGGGAACGCCTTGGTGATCCCTTGGACAAGCTGGAGAAGGTGGCTGGGGAGAGGGAGGTCTGGGCTTCTCTGCTTGGGCTGTTGCCCCGTGACTCGGCCCCGGAAGCAGAAGATGGATGGATGGATGGATGGATGGATGGATGGATGGATGGATGGATGGAGAATTTCTCTGAACTTTCCCTTCTACGCTTACCTTGGACAGCTGTTTATTGACAAAAGAATTAAGAGAACTAACGTCTTGATCCTGACTGCCACAGCGAATTACTAAGGTAAAAGGTTGAACTCCACCGAGAAGCTAACTATTTATGGGACCTGTTAAAACATTTTCATGCAAAGCTGGACAAATAATAAAGCCCTCTTACCCTAAAACGCTGAAAGTAGAGGCTGTTGCGACCATCGACCCTGCCCATGACATACAGGAAGTCAGGTGTGAGGACGAAAGGTGCTCGCTCCCTTTTCACGCCAAGAAAGTGCTTCCTGTTACCCAGGATGTGTCCGAAGTCAATGTGAAACAAGTTCCCTGAGAGGCAAGATTACTTCAGTTTTTTCTAATTATCAGTTAATTTGTTCATTTATGAATTCATTTTATCATGCAGCTTGTTTCAGAGGACAAAAAGCATCTGTCATTTCATAAGAGGATAATAACAAATCAGTAAATAACATGTGATAACAGTAGCCAATAAGGTGTTTTCAGTGATTTGTGCTGCTTACCGTCTTCTCTGATCATGATGTTGTCATTGTGTCGATCGCCTATACCCAGTACATATGTGGCCACACAGTAACCAGCACAGGAATTCACAAATCTCTCCACGTTCTTGAAGTGCTGCAGTCAAATAAAATCACAACAGTTTCACATTTTAGTTGTTTTTTTTTCCTATTACTGAGGGAAACAACAGAAAGGACCTGCGATTGCTTTTGATTTACTCACAATTTCCTGTAGTGGACATTTGGACTTGAGCCACTCAAACAGAGCATTATTTTTGAAGGCTCCAGTTGCTCCTCCTTGGCTCCTCTGGACCGCAGCGATCGTTGTTGCATTCCTCACAATCTCAATCATACCTGATGACAAGGACATTTTCATTTTGTGCTTCATCTTTAAACATGTGTTTTAAACTTCAAACACAGAAACCTAATTCCAGGGGGTAAAAAAACCCTCTCACAAAACACTGTTACAAAAACATGACACTGTGCAGGTGCAGTGGTTGCATGTTGATCCTCTGCCATGTGGGTGGGTGCTTTTTTCCCTCCCACAGTCCAATAAGCAGGCATGTTACATAATTTATTATAGTAAACTGGTCATAGGTTAAATTGGTAAATTGATAAAATACTATACAGAAAACCCCATAACAACATGTATAAATAAAAATTTGGGGCGATAGCTGTGGTTGTGAAAAGTCTTATAAAAATGTCCTAGGGCCTGCCTTTTGTAAACACTTTACTGATGAATTTATGGGCTCAGTCACTTATTTTAGGTCAAATATAATAAAAGAACGAGTCCAATTTGAACATTTTGGACATTCTAAGGTTTAGATTGTTCTCTGTTCGGTTTACAGATCAGAGATGGATCCACTCCCCTCTCATTTTAAATGGAGAAAAGGTGGAATCTGTCTCCACCTTCAGGTTTCTGGCACCCACATCTCTGCTGATCTCACCTAGACCAACAGCACCAACACCCTGGTAAAGAAGGCTCAGCGGTGACTGCACTTCCTCCGTGTCCTAAAGAAGAATAACCTGGTTGAGAAGCTGCTGCTCACCTTCTACCGCTCCACAGTGGAGAGCGTGCTCTCCTGCTGCCTGGGTGTTTGTTATGCAGGGGACGCTATTGAGAACAGGAAGGCTGTGCAGAGGGTAATTAACACCGCCCCAAAAATCATTACCTGCCTTCTGCCATCCAGGAGACCATCTCCAGATCCTCCCGTCTTAGGAAAACTAGGGGCATCACAGGTGACCCCTTGCACCCCGCCCACCACTAGTTTAACCCGCTGGCCTCAGGTCAATCAGGTCCCACACCTCCAGACTCACCTACAACTGTCCAATCTGTAATTTTCTCTTTTTTTGTAAATATTTCTCTATATGTCTCCCGTTTGCTATTTATTTCAACCTCCTACTGTCGCCAAAGTGCATTTCTCATAGGGGTTAATATGATTGTTGGGTTTTTCTCTGCATGTATTATTGTAGGGTCTACCTTACAATATAAAGCGCCTTGAGGCACCCATTGTTGTGATTTGGTGCTGTATAAATAAAATTGAATTGAATTTGACTATTTATATACACAGTGACAATAAAGGGGTATTCTGTTCTCTTCTGGTTATTTTTATGACCGTTTTTTTACTGCTTACATTTTTAAACAAATGTCTGTACTTTGTGTTATTGAAATGTTGCATGAAAATTCTGGGTAGTTTTGCTCAGGATAAACAGGTTACCTTGTATTAATGTCGTGAATTGATAGCAAAGTACTGTGTTGGACTGAAACACAGTGGCTGTGGTGGTCAGCTGCTGTGGAGCTTGGGTTAGATCAAGTGTAGTAGACATTCGTTTACAAATGAACTGACGGTGCTTAGATTCAGTCACTGAATTCAGTCTTTATACAGTGTAAAATCTAATTAGTTCTAAATAGTTCTCAGTTGCCTTAAGTAAAGCTTACGTAAGATGTCTAATTTGGGCAACGTATTCATTATGAGTAACCTCAGAGCTGTGATCTGCATGTCCGCTGATCACAGCTTGTCCACTAAGAAAATCTACTGGAGCTGACATTAGAAATCATTGTGGGCTGTCAGTATTTTCCCCACGCTGAGCCACTACAACAGATCAGCCCCCATTTATTTATTTTCTCTTTCACTGCTTGTGTCCTAAATAACAGATTGAGATGATGATGAAGAAGTAGAATTTAGATTTGAATAACATTTTTATCTTCATGTACTAATATTACTTTTGTATTACAATAATATAGCAGATACATTTCAGAGCCTGTACTCTTTCACTTTTACTTGAGTAAAGGCGTTAAATCAGTAATTCAGCTTTTACTGGAGTGTTTTTAACTCCAATATCTGTACTTCTACTTAAGTACAGAATGTGTGTACTTTTGCTGACTCTGTAAACAAGCTATTAATTGATTAGTAAATTATATTAAGTATAACTTCAACAACCACTACTAAAAAGAGCCATCCAGTACCAACTGTGGACACTATTAAAGCACACTAATGCTGATACCTATGTTGTGTCCAGTGGAGATGCAGCCATATGGAACAAGATTGAGGTCCAGGGATTTCTCCTTCCAGATGGAGTCCATCAGCACCAGTGCCTAAACAGAAATATGCAAACATTCATGTGTCTTTTCAACCTGATGTAAAACTACGATAGACTTGAGGTTTTTTTTTAGCAAAAAAGTAAAGTTGTGTATTTTGGGCATACCAAACCTGTTAAGTATATAACCTAGGAGCAACACAAAAAATGAAAAACTGAACTGGTCCAAGAATTGAGCCCTGAGGCACAAATAAAGGAGCAGCGCAGAAAAAGATACGTAGTTATTTATATGAATTTTAAATATAAGGGCTGGTCAGATAAGTATGAAGTACCGTATGATGGAAGTATGAAGTACTGTATATTCACCTTTTCCCAAGCATGTAGGAAATATTCACACACAAAAAAAAATCAGTATTCATATTTGAGGAAGAGAATTCAAGTAATCAAAGTAACAAAAGATCTGTCTGACCTGAATGACCAGCATGTCCTGTCTGAGGTCATCCCCCTCTTTGAAGATTATTCCAACAGGTGTGGCGGAGGTAGGTGATGGCATGGGAGAGAACTCCAGCCACAGAGGCTTCTTCTTTGAGGCCATTACTTTGCATTTATCGAGCTACATCACAAAGAAGTAAAGCAGACCGTTTTGTTTGTGTGGGATATTTTTCTTCACCACAGCCTTTTTGATTTAATCAACAACAACAACAAAAGATTACATATAGCTACTTTACTGTGGTGTACTTATTGTAATCAGGAAAAACAGAATAAGTAACAAATTTATGTTGAAGAAAAGTTCAAGTAAGTAATTATACTTGAATTATATGAAGCAGACAGAAAATGTGATGCAAAAAACAAAAACAGGCCAAGGAGGAATTCACAGTGGTCTACTATAATAATTGTACTGTAGAAATTGATAATATTTCCTCAACTATGTACAAAACTACAAGCCTGACCAAGTAATTGCACATCTATCTGTCTCCAGTTCTTAACCTGAAACATCATCACAAAGAGGTTGCCCTTTTGATGAAAAGGTCAACCTCTTGCATTGTTTATAAATCCTGCATATAGTAAACTTAGAATATAAGACTAAACCACACACAAAATGCTCAAATGCAATATATAAAAATATACCCAACATTTTTTTATTCACCACACTTTCACATAACCCTAAAGCTCAATGTACAAATAGAGACAGAAAGCCAGCAAAGCTTACCAGGATCCTTCCACATTTAATGCGAGGGTCAAAGGGCAGCAAGAATTCATTTGGCAGGTTACTGTCTCTAAGAAGTCCCTGAAGCCGGAAGGGAGCTACAGCAAGATCAACAGATATAATTTAGTGAAGTGGTTTAACAGTGAAACAACAGCTGCTTTTGGGGATTAGAGTCCTTGGTTTCTGAAAAGTTGCTATAAAAACATCTAATGCATTTCAAGGATGTCTTTCCTAGCCTAGGTAGGGATAGAGCTTCTGTTATTCATCAGCTGATGAACACCAGGTGTGCAGCACTACTTCATCTACATACAGGAACCCAGCCATACGTAGCCATACACAGATGGGATTTCTTCATGTATATTAAAATGGAACTCAACACGAGGCCAGCTGGAAGAAGCTTTTCCAAAGTACATTCAAAGTTACATGCAAAGCTTTGCTAACCTTCTACAGCTGGTAGATAAATAATAATGTAGTAACTTGGAAACAATAACATGCAAGAACATAAAAAAAATAACCATAATTAACAAGAAGCACTCAGAGAGTGCCTCGGCCAAGGTAGCTCACTCTCTGGGCTGTGTTTAGTGTGAAGGGATTTACTTTTAATGAATTTCATTTTATTTGTTTTTTGGGTTTTTTTGTTTTTTTAAATGTACCTACATGACATTGGCAGAGCCAGAGAGGAGTTGTATTGTGTTTACAGACAGAATGATGTGGGTGCACCTAAACGCTACCACAAACATAAATTCCTTAGCAGAGGTAAAAATCGAGGGAAGTTTAATAGGTCATCTTAAAAATGGCCTTTCCAAAACGAAATGCTTTTGTCACGCACCATGCAAGAACATAAGAACAAGGAAAGTATTTCAGCTTGCATTCAGATGCAGAGGCTCAAGGACTTTTACTGAGAAGCCAGTGGAGCTTACATTTAAAACCTGAATTATGAGAGTATTATATAACAGAACATAAAGGAAAGTATAATAGGTCCATTTTAAATTTCTAACATTCTGAAACAAAAACAAGCTGAAGTGCACTTGGCTCTGCAGCAGGAAAATAGGTCCACCCAGTAGGTCCACCTCTGAATGGCTTAAGAGAAACAAAATGAATACTTTGGAGTGGCCTAGTCAAAGTCCTGACCTGAATCTGATAGAGATGCTGCACCATGATAAAACATTCAGTAAAAAACAGTGAAATAAAATTAAATTATATACTTTTAGCTTTTTAAAAATAAAATTTTGATATATTAATTAAGAAAAAATGATGCTCCCTACTTGTAGAATCAAGGTTGGTCTTGTCAGGGTACAGGTTTTTAATGATGACAGCGACCTCCTGCAGGGCCTCCACCGCCTGGACCTGCTGGGTGAAGCTGTCGAGCATGGCCTGACCACAGCCCAGCAGGTAGGCCTCCAGAATCACAGCCATGCGCTGTCGGTAATACGGGCACCCTGCTACCTCACTGCGAACGTACCAGAAGAAGAAGTGTCCGATTCTTTTGCTCTGCAGTGAAAGATGTGAGTGAGTCAGACAGCGTGAAACAGATCTGGTCGCAGTCGACATCTTACTGGTGTAAAAACATTCATTAATGTTCCAGCAGACTGAAACCTTTATTAAACTCACCTGAAAAAAGAAAAACTTTTAAATGAAAGGTATTATTTTTATTCACACAAAAACCTGATCTTTTGATGACTATTGTGAATGAAAATACAAAAATAGATAAATAAAAAGAAAGAAAGAAAATCAGATCTATGATTAAGCTTGTCACAAACTTTTTATAAGCTGTGAGCCAATCATAATTGGGAGCTACTTTAGTGCTTTTGTATAGTATAAGTATAAAATCGGATTTGAGCACAAAACATCAGGATTCTTGTGCAGATTCTAGAGAGTCAAACACTGTTTGTTATTGTGGACCGGCACACAAACATAGAACCTAACGGGGCTATATATTATCTAAGTGGTACCATAATGCTTCAATTCTCAACAGGCTCAATTCTGCAGTTTGAATAAAGTTCCCCCAAGGAAACATTTCCTTGATTTTCACTGATACGCAGAGACAACCAAAAAGGTGAGATGATGGTGTTGGACAGCAGTGTGGAATTTCCAGAGTTAAAGTCTGCAAAGTCATTTTTGCAGATGCTGACTAAGAAAAAACTTCAGAGCACTGTTTCTGAAACATTGAAATTAACACAAATACATCCCCGTGACATCAGCATAGAATAAGAGGTCATCTGACAGGATCCAACACCATTGATTGATCTGGCCCAGAGAGGTCGATGACGCGAGTTTCTCTTTAAAAAAGGTGCGCCCGACACCTCTCTCTCTCCTTAAATGACTGTAGCACAATTTCTTCCTGTTGCCTGTTGCTCTTCTATAATGACCATTATTTTTGCTGTGAATACCGCCTCGTACTCTGGAGTGCATTCCCACAGAGCTTGAATTTATTTTTCTGGCATCACTTAGCATTGAAAAAATGACATGCTGATGTGTACAGAATAGAGCTGATTCCATTCTGATTCACAAGGTCCTGACTCAATTCAACTTTGACTCAGTCAGAAATATTTAAATTATGATCATTTATCTTGGATATTTACTGTTCAAAGAACCCTTTAAACTTTGTAAATTAAATATATTAATTTCCAAATTAACAACAGATCCTAAAGCAGTTACAATATTGCAACTTTTATTCAACTTTCACAGTATTTCACCTCCATTTTGCACGCCTTGCATATGGCTTTGCTTTTGTCCACTCTTCGCTGTCTTCACAGTTCTTGAATCCAAATACAGCTGCCGAACATCTGTCTTAAGGCTTGTGGCACCAGGTCACTTAACTCTTGCATGGCTTTCTCTTGTCAACCTCTTGCAAGTCTCATACACAGCAAAATACATTTCTATTTGAAAAATGTAATTTAAGGATTTAAGGAATCAATATCAGATTATTTAAAATTCATTTGAATTGGGAAGTTGATTTTGATCCCTAGTACAAAAATATCTAGTAAGAAGGTGTGTGTGTGTGTGTGTGTGTGTGTGTGTGTGCGTGTGTGTGTGTAAGAGAGTACATTTTTTAGCCTTAGCTCATTCTTGGTATTTTTTCTATAGTCTTTGTTACTGTTACTATGACAACATGTGGCTGTAACTTGGAACCAGGGATGTGATGCTGCGATTGCTACAGTGCCGTCTATGAATTGTATTTGTTAGCCCACCCACCCATTCTCACCACCAGCCACCACTGCAAGTGATTATTTAGTTTCTTTAAGTAGGTTTTGTTTTGTCTCTCTTCATTAGAAAAAGACAAAAAATAATAATTTTGTCTGGCAAAAATATTCTGCTGACAACCTTGTACATGCCAGTACTCTGCAGTCACAGTGGATGCTTCATGACTTACCCGCAGAGCTCTTTGGATGAGGTACCGAGCGAGGAAACTGTCATGGTAAGGTTCCACTTTTAGGATCTGTAAGAGTTAAAGGTGAAGGAAAAGGTCATTGTCACACTTTAATAGTCATTTTAAGTGATTTTACAAATATCCTTAAATAGTGGGATGGGGGGGATGGTTAAAATGCTTAAATGTGTTCACATTCTACTGGATATATTTACATGACTTAAACAAAAGGTGAATGTTAGGCCTTATGAAAAAGAACAGAACAGAAATGTGGAAAGCATCTTGGAGTAAGGATCAAAGGGAAAATAAAACATGAAGCAAAATGAAAGCTGTCAGAGAAGAGATAAGTGGGTGATGTCTAATGTAACCAGTAAAATCTGATAAATGTCATTGCATTGGTGATGCATTCCACACAGACTCTAAGAGAACATTTTGAAACAAGTCTGTGGCTTCAGGGAAAACATTTGCCAGTTTAGATTAGCAGTAATCATGATTTTTTTATGTATTGTAATTGTAATAAAAAAAGCAACACATACAGTCCTGATGTTCAATAGAATGGGGAGTGGAATAAAGACAGATTCACTTTGCAAACTAAACAGGTAGTTAATAGTAGTTTAATTATTTCAGATGACATTTTGCGCGTCACGCAATATGAATGAATCTGTTTATCAATTTTCATATAAACACATACCTGCACAAGCTGAAGCAAATACTTCAACACATCATCATTCGACAGACTCTCCAGTCTCTTCACTGCCAGTCTCCTGATAAACTCGTCTGCAAAATCCATGCTTAGTAGCTCCAATGCCACTGTTACATCCAGTTCCTCAGGTTGCCAGTATCCCAGTAGCCAGTGGACATCTTCAACCGAATTGCGGTTCATCCAGTCAACATTACGCAAGTACTGGGGTAGACTGGAGGCATAACGCACACTTTCCTCCCGAAACCTTCTGAGGCATGGCTTTTTGGTGTTGATGGCTGTAGTTGGGGATTTGAGAGTTACACTGTCAGCCAGTGAGTTTGCTGGCAAAGAATATCTTTTGATAGGCAAGGGTGGGGGGACATGAGATTCGTGATTCTCACGTTCTCTGGAGTTGGAACATTCAGAGTTGGTAACAGTATTTGGGACAACCACAGGAAAGCTGTAGCGGTCTAAAAGGAAGCTGATAGCCATGGAGTCAGCTATGTCTGGGTTAGTAGCAGTTGACAGCTTGTCTGCTTGGTAGGTGATGGCCTCATCATCCAGGCCAGGGTGTGACCACATGTGCAGTGTGTAGGGCCCCTGGCTCAGAACAGACCTGCAGGGATAGGTGGTGTCCCGTGTTGAAACACCGTGTAAATAATAGTTAGTTTTACAGTACTGCAAGAAATGTCTCGACGTTCTCTCAAATGAAGAATATAAGAGCACAAACTGAGATGTCAGATGGAGTAATAATAAATACACATATGTAATAAATAAAACATAAATTAATAAATGAATAATAAATAGAGACCTCAAAACCAATGTTGACACTAAGGTTGGCAACACATGCATACACACAAGTATATGCATCTGTTACCCAAATGTTATCAACATTTTGTAGTTGTAAATAAAACCACGCACATGGACACACATGGATTTGTAGCAGTTGCAAAAGACTGGGTCCCTACTTCCAAACAACCTACTTCATGAACTGATTAGACTTGTAACTCTTGTCCAGATACTGTGAAAGGATGAAATTCGGCTAACTCAGAAATTTCACACCTGTTAAAATTCCATACTAACATCCTATTCAGCGCATTCAAATATTAAAGTTTCTTGTGTGCCTGAAATGTATCACGGCAAAACCTGTAATAGACACGCCGGTGCACCATGTCATTTGATGCTCTGCCTCTCAAAAGCAGGAAATGTACACGAATGCAGAAGTTGCAGTAAGCTTCAGTTACAGCAGAGGGTTTTATTTTATTTTAAGCCAACAAAAAATTCATTAATAAAAGCATTTACACAGACATTACTAACACATTTACACGTAATACATATAAGCCACATAGCTTAATCGGTTAATCATAGGTCACTAGCGACTTTATGGCTTTAAATATATTATCTCCCCCTGCTGGTACTGAAAATGGACACGGTCGACCGGCGTGCCTATTACATGCTTTGCCGTGATATCGTGGTGTAGTACACCAAATGGAAAATAAGCATGTGCAAGAACTATGGGCACTGAAATGGCATAAACATCCAACAATGCAACTTTTGTGTGTATTATCTTTGTAAAATGTTTGTCATTGTTACTCAGATTTGTGGTGTTACCATGGTATCATATTTTGGATATTATTGATATACTTAATTAATAACTGGCTAACACTACAAACTAAGCATGACTTGACAGGAGAGCAGAGATTTTTAAATGACAGTTTTATAGCTAACTGCTTATGTATGTTTTTCCCTTATACTGTTAATAAAGATATTTTGGTTAAATAAAAACAAAAATCCGCACCTGTGATCTATGAGGAGTAGGTTGACAAAGTAGAGCACTTTTCCTCTCCCTTTCATCAAGTCTATTGTTTTGTTGCTTGAAGGCGATGGCACTTTTGTTGCAGCAGACATGTCACTAGGACTTTCGTTAATAGTGAGACCCAGCTTAGCTCCACGTGGCAGATCCCTAAGAAGAACATCAAAGTCCAGCCACTCATTCCACAGCACTTCATCTGAAAGGGGCTTGGGAATGGAGGATACTGAAGAGAGGACCTTGTTACCATGGAGTATGGATGCTTCAACATAAACAGACTGAGGGCATTTGCTTGGAAGTTGTGGGATATCAAATCCAAGCAATTTGACTCTGAAATTTCTGTTGCAGTCCCACAAGGATATCATGAAGATGTCATCCAAATCCTTCCCTTTAAGGCTGAGATCATTGTGGGAACTGAACTGGCCGCTAAAACCATCAACAAGTGGCCAGTCCACAAATTTGACAGCCTCCGAAGGAAGCTGCGACACAGGGACAACAAAGAGGTGAAGCTCTTGGTTGGTTTTCAGGCACTGTCGCACCCAGAGGAAATCATTCAGGGCATAGTCTCCAGATAAAAACTCCTCCCTGCCTGCAACTTTCAACACGAGATTGTCAGGCCCATCGTATTTAATCCCTCGGTCATTCATCACCCTTTCAAAAACTTTAAGAAGTAGTTGTGGTGTTGTGCTGAGGTCAGCCTTTATGCTGAAGCTGATCCTGCTCATGTAGTGGAAAGTGACAGGAAAGTCTCTGTTCTGCCATTCTTGTAGTTCTTCTGGTAAGGCGGTATGCGTTATCCAAGGCTCTGTGGCATACAACTTGTCATCCCGTTTCTTCAGCTCTTGTTTCCTAGCAGATGCCAGTTTCCGACGGGTGAAGGTGAGCTCACCAAGTCTATCAGATGCTTCTTTCTCCAGGTCATGTCCGATCAGATAAGTCAGGCACTGCTGTTGTTTCTCGTTCTCCTCTGGATCAACTGCCACAGGCGGTTTTACTATTATGTGTGCTGATAGGCAATGAGGGTCATTACGTGACCATGGAATGTCTAATGTCCTGATAACCTGACAGTCATCGTAGGCTTCATACCAGTCGCCACCCCTGGCATAGAGCAGGCTGTATTTCTCGGGGTCCAATATTGCAAAAGGGTCTGGGTGGCAGTTTTGCTCCTGTGCCTGGAGGCATAGAGTCATATACATGAAAAAATAAATACATACAATTTTTGATTACTGTAGTCTGAATATAGTGTTGTGCAAATGTCTTGATCATTTCATTATATTTTGCTCCAAAGAACAAGAAGATGAGATAACACTTTATTGATCCCACGGCGGGGAAATTTGTGCGTTACCTCAAGCTGGGAGCTGAGTAACAAGCTGCCTACTGTGGCGGCATCTTGGAAAAAAAATGCTTCCTTATAATTGTTTTTTCGCCAGGGTTTCTGAAATTCTTGTAAAACCTTTCTTCGTTTTTAACAGTACTGTAAATGCTTAAGCATGAGGCACACTGACAGCTATACTGTAAATAGCTGATAGTGGGACTATGCAATACCATGTCATATGAGCATGCAATCTTAGTTTAGCATATTAGCTAACATTTGCCTTTTAGCTAAAAATACATAATATTTTAGAAGCCAGCTAAATCAGTTGATAGTTCCCATGTACGGTTTGACGATAAAGCAACGTAGAAACTTCTTTTAGCTGCTTCCTTTTTCACAGAGGGTGACTATGAGCTACATGAGCTGCTCATTTGGCAGATTTTTATATTTAATGTATTTCCTGATTCAACCACAAAGGTAAATGGACTGTTTCTTATATAGCACTTGTCTACCTGCGTGCTTTAGACAACTTGCCTGATTCACTTATAAACTTTTTTAAATGTTTTTTTCCTCCATAAGAGCTTTCTATCTAACATTCACACAAATTCAGTGGGTGCACCAGAGTGCAACTTGGATCCAGTCTCCTTGCCCGAGGATATTTGGCATGGAGACTGAAGCAGCCGAGAATTCAGCCACCAACTTTAGTTGATGACCCACTCTGCAGCCACCCCAAACAAGGGATGGACTTAGTTATGGGCACATGTGTTATTGACTGTAATGAATTTGCTACATCCTTAATCATACTCTGCTTTATTGTTTATTGTACCCTCAGTGAGACCATAATGTTCTTCGTACTGTACTAGCAAACCAAAAGCTCAATGGGAAAATGTTTACTAAGGTGAACCTCACATTTATTGACTTCTCTAAGTTTGAATTTATTTTGCGAACAGACCAGTCTGCACCGCACCCACCCCAGAGCACCAACTTCCATTATAAAGAAACTAGTTTTTAGGAACTGCGCTATCAATTTCACTTTATAGACCCAGAACTACATCCAACACAGTCTATGAGAATAAAAGGAAAACATCCTTTGCACGAAAGACCACTCAGTGCAGGTTCACATACCTCCATACAGATGCGTAGCCTCAATTGGTAGACACTACACTGTGCAGGGAGGGTGACTGATATCGGCTCGCAGCCCAAGCTGATATCCTGATCCTCATCACCAGGCTTAAACTCACAAATAAACTTCAGGGTGTTCTCAAAGCAGCCTTGGGTAGACAGTCTTCTTACACTGTCTATAGAGTGTGGACGGGTTGGCCGATTCACAGCAGCATCCATTGGGACTTTAAAGAGAGCCAAGCTTTAACAAAACTCTGATTTAAAAAGAAAAACTCATACAAAGGCTGGTGCTGATTAGTTTGGGTCCTCTGGTGGAGCGCACGCAACTCTGCTTATCTGACAATGTAACAGTGTGTGTTCCCTTTTTGTGACTGCTCGGAGACTTCCTCATTCTTTTGTGCTTCAGTTCTCAAACACCAGTGATGTTATTATTAATAGCAGAACATTTACTGACAATGTAACATAGGTAACTTCCTTATTCTTTTTTGTACTCCAGTAACAAATTATAATAGCTATTCTGACATTTTCACAACTAATTATGGACAACATGCTACAGTAAACACTCCTGGACTAATACTGTTTAAGAGGGAAATGTCAACTTCTGCAATTTAATCACAAATTAAACAGGTCAAGCTGGGCAGAATTACTGTTTTTTACAGTAATACACCAAACCTGTTTGGGTTGTTTGGCTTTCTGTTCTGTGTAGAATGTGTTGGTCTACTGGTTAAAATAGCTGAAAGGTGTCAGTCAGTATTTTTAAATGTTGTTTACTTTACTCTACTCTTACTCATATCATTTACTGAACTACACTCCATCAAACCATGCTATTGTTTTGTATGCAGCACAGAGCAAATTCAAAGCCTTTGTAGATACAAATCAGTAAAAAAAAATAAAAAATACAATTGGTAAGAGTTTCCTGAAAAGTGTTCGATAGTTGTTTGGTTATTATTGTTATTGTTGTGGAGGCTAATATTAAAAACTGAGAATAAGAATAGGATGAAGACATAGTACAGTATTTCTTTCAGGATAAATAATCACCGTAACAAAATGAAACTAAAAACAAGTTTCCAATAATTTATAGATACAGTTACCATTCAGCCACAAACATGACTCAAGAAGGGGGAGGGTGTAGAGGCTGGACTGGAACTGGGCCAAAGACTGCCAAGCAGCTGAAGTCATTTTCCCGCCAGGAGGAAGAAAAAGACCGGCTCAACAACTAGTGTGACGCGCATGGGTGTCATATGATTAACTTGAACCTTCAGTTCAGTACTTCCCTTTGGAGGGTTTGAACACTGCTTAATGAATCACTAAAAGTAGTTTCATGGGAGAAAGAACATCTCAGAGAGGGGTTGATTTGGAGCTGAATAATGAACATTTAGTTATCATGTGTTATTGGACACTCCAACAAGAAGGAAAATGACTTTATTTTATTCTCAGTGCTTTATTACAGAAATGCTGTGACAATCAAATTAGTTTGCCCTTTTGGGGAATTTAGCACATCTAAAAGTACTTTCAGCTACTCCGTTATTTTCCAAGGGCCTGCACCAACAAATGTATCCTTATTTTGATTTCCACTCCATTCCCACCCCGACGCAATCTTGTCATGTATCTGGGGGTACACTAACTAACTTGTGTCGCTTTCTGATCTCAAACTGTGGTTCGTTTACATGCAAGGTAAACATGTTAACCTGCACACCATGAGACCGCAGCAAGTTTGGCCGACCTATTAGTGTAAAATCTGCTTACATATCGAGCCAGAATTATGCCAGAAGCTTGTTGATGGCTACCAAAAGGTGAGGTGCAACTTACTAAGAATCATCACAACTGTAAGCATGTATACAATCTGTTCAACATTATACTTATGTAACAAAATTACATGAAACATTTGCATACAATCAAATAACTTAAACAGTCAGTCATCTTTAAAAGCTAAACTTGCATGAATTGAGGTAAATGTACTAATTTAAGTAATTCCTTCTTTTGTCAGTGATCTCTGTAAAAAACCTATAAAATGTCAGCGTACAGATACGTTAATTTCACATGCTTGTCGTGCAGACACAAGACGACCATTGATCAACTGTTTTCAACCATTTTAATAATTTCCTTTTAAAGATGACACACATCTGTAACAAATGAATTCACAGTATCTTCACAATAGTGCTTTAACACAATCCAAACAGAAATCTAATCATATAATTACCTGCTAATTTTACGAAGCAGATTTTCTTCGTATGGGTATAGCTTATTTTTTAAGGGTTTTAAGAATGCAGGTTTTACTGATCTTGTTGTCTGATGTGACGCTTTGTTTGCCATCAGGTCTTCGTGTCATCATAATGCGTTTTGTAATTCCTGATTGCAGTGTGAAAATACTTCTTTGCAGTTTTATATACTAGGGAGTAGGTATGAGAACACCTTGCAGTGCTTTGATTAATCTGACTGCCAAATAAGTTACAGTTTTGACCTGCAGGAGATCCTAAATAGTTCAATAGACACTGTCACAACGCCTCTGTATGGAGGCTAAAGCTGGAAAATCATAACAGGAACATGGTGATGATAGAATAACGTGTAAATCAATTACACTTGCTCATTTGAGGATTAATATTTCACTTTAAAATATCAACAATCAGCAGTTAACAATTATGACTGAAAAATCTTCAACAACAACTGAACTGGCTAAAGGATTGATTAAAAACACACATTTGGATGTGACTGATTTACAATGTAGCAACAATTCATGTACGTAACAGCACATTTTATAAGCAAGACCACATTTTTAAAGGTTATCACCAACATTTTTTAAAATTAAGAAACAGCAATGTTGATGACATCCCTTTTTTAAACTTTAGCTGTCTGTTGTTGAGTTCCTTTGCATTCGTATGGTCTCAGTGTATTTTTGCCATAAAGACCCAACACTTCCTGAAAATAAGCTGACACAGTTCCCTAACTTGTCAAGACACATTTGAAATGGTACAACACATAAAAACTAGCCATGCTACAACACATGTAACCGCAGTGTAATAAAAAACTAATCTGCTGTTGTTGGTTAAACAGGGAGGATAGGTGGCAAAACGACCCTTCAAACAAACACAGTCAACATTTATGTTTTTGTTCGCAAAAAATGAGTCTTCCACATACACTCAAAAGATATTTAGAGACAAAATGCTGACTTTAAGTCATTTGATTACATGTAAGGTTTTGGAATGCAATCTTGAAAACTTTTCCAAAGTTTTACATGTAAACCTTGGAAAAATTAAAGCTCATTCTGGACAAACAGGAATGTAAAATGAATAGTTTGCTGTTTTAAAGTAATTTACAGTCCTTAACTTGATGAACGACAACATTTTTGTTATGTAACCAGGCAACTCTCTCCAGACCTTGTTCAGACTAAAATAAAGCTAATTATCAGTGCAGAAAAAAAAGCCTGCATCTTGCAAATCTGGCAAGACACGATCAATGCTGAAAGATTTACACAGGTTCCAGAACAAAAAATCTGATCTTTTTAAAAGAAAGGCCTTGCATAGTTCAGCCAAACAGTCATGGCTTTGTAGTGAATGAGTGTGGGCGTTGAACTGGCGGGCCTGCAGGCCACACCTTTTACCAACTGAAAACATTTGTTGCATCATGAAACTATGACAGCGCAGCCTGCTTTGATATGTTTGATATCTTTTCTTTCTTCTATCAAGAATAAAATACAGGCTTGCAAGCTTTTCAAATCATAGGTACAGTCGCTTTCTTGCTGAACAGTGAAATGCTGTCCGATGACTTTGTGTGAATCTGCAGATGATTTCCTGTTCATACACAAGAGCTGTAGCTTAGCCTAAAATACATCTCTTAATTCTTTATCAACTTTGTACATTTGGGCATGACAAGAACACTTAATGAAGGGTCCATTCCCTTTCAGCTCTTTCTCTGCTGAAAGGGAATGGATAAAAGAGATAAAATAAAATAAAAGAGAAGGCTAGGTACTGTAATGAACAATTTCAACTCAAACAGAATGTGCTGTAATCAGGTTATTTCTGGCCTGCAAATCAAAACTCTATCTGAAGTTGCTTATATGCTTCAAAAAACGGAAAACACGGTACAAAAATGCTCCCACGTGACAGTTTGCGTGCAGACCTAAAGAAGAGTGTCTGCAACGGTGAGGCACTGATGCTTTGGTGTTGCCACCAGCCTGCTGACTGACCACACAAAGCGCAAAATATTTCTGAAAGCACTGCAGCTACTTTAAAAAGAGGATGTCCTTCAACTCCTGCAGCATTTGGCCACAGCTTTCATTTGTCATCTTTTGAACACAGTATAAACACACGTATAAGCGACACGACACAAAGCTACTTTAATATCAAAGGCTAACGCGATCACTGCAGGGACTTGTGCTCCACAACCTCACACACATCACAGGTGTTACGGGGAGTACGCTACCTGGTTCTCCGCTGCAGCCTCTCTTACCTTAGAGCAGGGGTGTGCAACATAAGGCCCGGGAGCCAGAGTTAGCCGGCAAATACTCCAATCCAACTCACTAAACAGCTTCGGAAAATGTCATAGAGGGCATCGACTTCAGACTTTTGTATTGTCATAGGTTTTACAAGTTTTCCTACACTGTTAAAAAAAACATCTTAAAAAAAACAGTAATATTCCAGCAGCTGGGGCGCCAAAATACTACCGTAAAATAACAGAAAATAACTTCCTCATAAAAATATGGTTATTTCCAGTAATGACAATACAGGTTGTTGCGCTAATTTTACATGGGATTCTGCCTTTTCCAAGTGCGTTTAGACATTAAATTAGGAACATTTTAACGTGATCAAACAATGAAATTACCTATAAACAAGGTCAATGAATGTGGCAATATGAATAATACGTAAATGTACAGAAATATAGAGTTAACAGTTGGTTTAAATAATAATGGATTGTATGCCCTGGGACAGAGGCAAGGCTGCCATATCGCACCATCGGCCCTCACCAGTAGGCAAAGAGTCTTGACCACGGACACAATACTGAGAGTGTCTGAGCCGGGGCTCGAACCGGCAACCTTCTGATCATAAGGCAAACTGCCAACTCTTGAGCCACGATTGCCCTAAATAGCAATGATAATAATACTTATGTGATGTAACACAAGCTTATAGGGATCATGTTATATACTTTTCCACAGCATTACATTTGAATTCAACAGTTCAATCTTTCAAATAACGGACAGATATTTGTGAAATCATGATACATTTGTGAATGTATTTTAACAATCTAAATATGCATATGTACAGACAGATACATTTAATAATCATGGCAATTATGTTTTATTACATTACAGTGATTTAATGTTAATT